CCAAGTACCTTAACGACAACAAAACAAATTTCTACTCGTACCAACTAAAAAGCAGCAGGGGCCTGCAAGTTGTACTCAAAGGCAGGTGTGACACCTGCCGAGGTCTCTGAGGCACTTCAAGAGCATGGCTTCACAGCCAAATCAGTTATGAATATCCTAAACAAGGACAGAAAGCCGCAGCCCTTATTTAAGGTTGAACTTGTACCAAACACTACGGCATTAAAGAAAAATGAAGTTCACCCTATCTACAAATTACAATTTTTATTGCATCGTAGAATTACTGTAGAGGAACCGCATAAGAGGAAGGGGCTAGTACAGTGCACAAACTGCCAAGAATACGGCCACACAAGATCCTATTGCACCCTTCGACCCGTTTGTGTCGCCTGTGGAGACCTACATGGCTCCGCCAACTGCACGTCAAATAGGAACGATCCAAACGTTAAAAAGTGCGCCAACAGTGGAGGGAATCACACAGCAAACTATGGAGGCTGTCCTGTATACAAGGAGCTCAAAAATCGGCTAAGCCAGAGTCTGACATCAGTGCACTCACGCAGTCAGCCAAACGCTTTTGTAGCCTCCAAATCACACCCTGACGTTTACCTTGCTACCGCAGCCAGATCTTTTCTTGAAGCTGCGACAACCAATAAAAATATCATTTTTTAAGGGCTCTAAAAATGGGTCACCTGTCCCTAGCACAGATCAGCCACTATTTATCTCGGAATCAATGCTATACAAAATTCAACAGCAAATGATGGATCTGATGACTTTAATTCAACAGTCCATCCAGGAAATGGTACGAACCCAAATATCATAGTGCAGATGCTTGCATCGTCACAACCCAAATAACCAATGGCATCCCTACGCATTGCCCTGTGGAATGCTAATGGCGTCTCACGACACAAACTGGACTTGACACAATTCCTCAATGAGAAACAAATCGACATAATGCTTCTGGCAGAAACCCACCTCAAATAAATATAACTTCCAAATAAAAGGCTATCTTTTCCATGGTACTAACCACCCAGATGGCAAAGCCCATGGAGTCAGAAATCGACTAAAACATTACCTTTATAAGGAAACTGCTAGAAACCAACTACAAGCCACTTCCATACAAGTAGAATCGGACAGCGGAAAAGTAACCGCTGTCTACTGCCCTCCTCGCTATACACTATCAAGGGACCAATTCATGGAATTTTACAATTCACTAGGTAAATGCTTCGTATCAGAGGGAGACTACAACGCTAACCACACGCACTGGGGGTCACGTCTTGTAAACCCAAAAGGAAGACAGCTGTATAACGCACTTATAAAAGTTAAAAACAAACTCGAATATGTTTCTCCGGGTAGGCCTACATACTGGCCGGCTGATCCAAGGAAGCTGCCAGATCTGATTGACTTCGCAGTAACTAAAAATATTCCACGCAGTTTGATAAAATCTGCAACCCTTCCGGAATTATCATCAGACCACTCACCGATGCTATTTACTCTTCACCAACGGCCAAAGACAGAAGAACAGCCCCAAAAAATAACTTCTTGCAAAACCAACTGGCTGAAGTACAAAAAATATGTGAGTTCGCATATCGAGTTGAATCCACAATTTAACAACGGGGCTGATATTGAAAACTTCACCAACAAATTGCAATCTGTCCTCAACCCCAAAAACATTAGATGCGCCTTTCCAGCCAAATACTTGCAGAACTAACGCAGAGATTGAGCGGCTTGTGCTTGTAAAGCGCCGACTAAGACGAGATTGGCAGACGAACAGGTCCCAGGGGGCAAAGCAAAGACTCAAAGAAGCCACACGACAGTGAACAAAAGCACTAAAACAAGAAGAAGAACTTAATCAACGTCGTTATATCGAGCAATTATCCCCGTGTAGCTCCAAGCATCCATTATGGAGGGCACACCCAACTCTAAGTTCGCCAAAAGATACTGTAACGCCAATAAAGAACCATGCAGACATTTGCCGCTCATCTTCAACACTTTTTACTCCCAAACCCAGTAACAAACACGTTTACTCTACCAGCAGATGAAGCTCGAGAACCTCAAGATCCAATACAGTTCCGACCGGATGAGCTTGCCAATATCATAAAAGAGCAACTCAAGCCATAAAAGTCTCCAGGCACCGATCTAATAACACCTGAAATGATTATTGAACTTCCGTATTGTGCCGTTTGCATAATTTGCCAGCTATTCAATGGAATCAGTAGACTTGGCCACTTTCCAAAGGGATGGAAAAAGTCCATAATCATAATGATACCTAAGCCTGGTAAAGACCATACTGATCAGCGTTGCCAGACGTCCCGACGTCTTTTTAAATAAAAATGAAATGTCCCGCGCGGGACATATAATTCGAACGTGCGGGCTGATGAAGCGTTCAGGAGTGAGAGGCGCCTGCGACAGCGACTTCCTCTCTTTCTCTTCGCTCTTTCCTTATTTTCATTTGCTTATAATTTTCTGTTTCACGAAAACGTACGATTATCAACGAAAGAATAACGATTACCGTTTGTTTTAGTGCAGTGAAGCAGTGATCTTTTAGTGAGTTGCATTGCATGCGCAATTTAGTTTGATTTCATTAAGCAAACAAAAGTAAGTTTTTCACGTGTTTTTGTTCGTGAACTTTAAAAGAAGTGAAATCTTCACAGAAATATCATGAATAAGTGATTGTTATAAATAGTTATTCTCTTATTGTAAGTTAAAATTTGAAACATTCACTCCTCAGACTATTGTTTAAAACGCCATATGGTTCTTATGAATTTCTGTTTATTATTATAAAATAATAAAACCCAAATATTTAACGAAAAAGTAAATATCATTGGAAATATTATATTTTTGTTAAAATATATTTTCTATAGCTAATTTTACTATCTATTGTACTTTAACTTAATTTGGATGGAAATAAAAAGATAAATATTTTAAAAACTTCTGGTTATATACGTTTTTAATTATGTCCCGCTTTCGACGTAAGAGTCCCGCTTTTTTCACTAAAAAAGTTCCTAAGTCCCGACTTGGCAAAAAAAAAACTGGCAACGCTGATACTGATCCTTCATCATATAGGCCCATTAGCTTACTTTCATGCCTTTCCAAGCTATACGAAAAATGCCCTTTGGCCTACATCACCCCTCACTTGATATATAAAATTCCATCACATCAGTTTGGGTTTCGTGCAAAACATGGAACCATCGAGCAGGTCAATCGTATAGCAGCAGAAATACGTACTGCGTTCGAGCGCCGAGAGTACTGCACTGCAATATTTTTGAACATTTCACAAGGATTCGACAGAGTTTGGCAAGATGGTTTAATGTATAAAATCCTAACTATGCTTTCACCCAACACGCATAATTTTCTGAAGTCATACCTCTACGAGGGAGTATTTGCTGTAAGATGCAGTACAGCCTTGTCCGGCGACCACCCAATCAAAGCCGGAGTCCCTCAAGGTAGTGTACTTGGTCCAACCCTATACCTTATTTACACAGCGGACATTCCCACTAGTACACAACTGACAACATTAACATTTGCCGACGACACAGCTATCTTGAGTCGTGCCAGATGCCCGATCCAGGCATTAAATCAGCTAGCCTCTCATCTAGTATCAGTGGAGAAATGGTTATCAGACTGGCGAATTAAAGTGAACGAACATAAATGTAGGCACATAACGCTTACCCTGAATAGGTAAGATTGCTCTTCGCTATAATTAAACAACTCCGTTCTTCCCAAAGCAAATGAAATTACGTACCTGGGTATACACCTCGACAGAGGTGGAATGCCTCGACGAAGGGCAGGTGGACCCACCGGCTGATCCCAGATCTGACATCCTGGATGGACAGGAAGCACGGCCAGGTTAACTTCGACCTGACGCAGATCCTCAGCGGGCATGGGTGCTTCCGCGGCTACCTAAAAAGGTTTGGCCACGAAACCGACAGCGACTGCACGCTGTGTGGAGCAGGCATCGAAGAGGACGCCGAACATGCCTTCTTTCTTTGCAACAGATTTGCAGCGGCAAGGCAAGAAGTCGGCGTACAAGTTGGTGGAGCCCTCTCTCCGGACACCCTGATCGCAATCATGCTGTCGAGCGAGGCAAACTGGGCGCTGATAACGGCCTTTGCTGGTCAAGTTACCAAAGAATTGCGTAGACTTGAGCGCATAAGAAGAGGTGCCTAACTTTGGGCTTTGCCCCTGCGAAGCAATACTTCGCGGTCGTACCGCATGGGCTCATCCCAAAGTTTAGATTAGCATAATTAAATTATACTGTAGTTTATCCTAGAGCACTAATGAAATAGAAAAAATAAAAAAAAATAAAAATAAAAAAAAAAACCTCGACAGACGACTCACATGGCGCAGACATATTAAAGCTAAAAAAAACACACATGAAGCTTAAAGCCAGTAGTCTTCATTGGCTGATAAACGCAAAATCACCTTTAAGACTGGATCTTAAGGTCCTGCTGTACACCTCGATTTTGAAACCTATCTGGACCTATGGTTCCCAGCTGTGGGGAAACGCCAGTAATGGCAGTATAGACATCATACAGAGAGCCCAATCAAAGATCCTGAGAACTATCACCGGGGCACCGTGGTACGTCCGAACCGAAAATATTCAGAGAGATCTGTGTATACCACCTGTTACCTATGAAATAGCTGAAATAATTGAAAAAATACCACAATAGACTGTCCGTAAGGCCTAAGGGGCATCACCCAAAAATAAAAAGTAACACTGTAGTTTAATAAGATTTGTAAACATATTGTTAGTTCCCTAAACGAGAAGATTCAATATAATAAAGCACAGTATAAAAAAAAAAAAATTATAATCATAAAAGTGTCTTTCTCAACGTAGGCGAGAAAATGGTATTAGCCAATTTTAATAAATTAAAAAGCTTTTATTTAAGAAAAACTCTCTTTATTTCACCGTTCACTTTGTTTATTAAAAACACCTAGCTTGTGGTCCGTTATAATGTAGGTGTGTGCATTGTAAGTTCCCTATCCGAATAAAAAACTCAAAATTATATATTATAAAAACGTATATTTATCTGTAGGAATTCAGTCTCCTTAAAATTTATAATGGTAATTAATTTCATTAAATTATTTATTAGACAGTGCAAAAACTTTTATGTTCGTTTCAAAGTAGCAAAAGTATTAATTAGTGAGTTTCCTTCATATAAAATTCATACTTTATAGATACAATATACCTTAAATTGCTGAAAGAAGTTAAGTTCTTCGTCGTAATAATATATCAAAACATTTTGGAGGTAAAGCCACAGTCGATTTTTCTATCTTTATTTTTGATAGGTCCACACAATTAACATTATAATTCTGTATAATATTTGCAAGTAATAGAAACCCAAATCCTTTGACCAAATTTTGTCCAATGCATGTGCGCTTGCCTACACTAAACGGAAGGAAATGTGGAATATTTTTTTTAAGCTGAAATTTCTGTTTGTGAAACAAATTCTTTTTGTTTTCATCTTGGCTGTATTTCAATTCGGGGTCGCTTCTTTGATTTTTATATGATTTTTTCTAAAAATCTTTCTGGCTCAAAGTGATCGGGATAGCTCCAGATCTTTTCGTTCATATTTAAAATAAATGTATTTACAAAAACGATTGTGCCTTTAGTAACGCCAAATCCAGATATCACTGTGTCTTCCATTGCCACATGAGGAACAATGGGAGACGATGAACATCTCAAAACCTCTAAGATCGATGCCATAGTGTAGGGCATATCATTCATATCATATAGGGTTATATATCTTTCGCCCTTGTTGGAAACTATATCTACCTCCTGCTTAATTTGCTCACCAATCGTAGGGTTTTTAGCAATATATGCCAGTGCCAACATGACTAAATTTCCAACTGCTGAGTGCCCGCCAATAAAATCTTCCAACATAAAAATTATTGTATTACGCGACACATTTTTGTCCTCACTTAGGCTTTTTAGTAGAGCATCAGTAAAATCTTGGTCAGGCTCATCTAAATTAATATTTTTTTCCCGGCGACATATAATTCTGTCTAAAATAAATCTACGTATAGTAGTTGACCAATGAACTATTTTGTTTATGTGATGATCATAAAACGGCGTTAGCCACGGTAGAAAATCGAAGGAATATCCTTGGTTAATTTCCCAAAAGATTTCATCAAAATACTCTATGACTTTTTTAAAATCCTTATCGTTGTAATTAAACCGAACTGAACACATATATTTACAAAACATATTGGCGCTGGCTTTAAGAATTAAAGGTTTTATATCGAATGAGTTTCCGGGTAAAGTATTTTTGAGCTGGTTCAGTAAGTAATTGATTTCAAGGACTCCGATAAAAGACATCTTTGAAAAATAGGGGAAGCTTCCCGAGGAGAACAATGTCGTCTTGCCAGGTTTCTCCGTCTTTGTTGTAATTGTGACCAGTCGCACAGGGCCAATGCTATGAAAAAGAGATATTTTTAATTATTTTTAAATTATTTAACAAGAAAGGAAGCTAGCTTCGGCAAGCCGAAGCTTATATACCCTTGCATACATTAAATATGTCGAACAAAATACATAAAGGCTAAACAACATCGAAGCTGTGACGATTTTTCTATTAATTTTCCATATTGTTCATATGACGGCTATACGATATAGTCGTCCGATTTTGATGAAATTTATTTTGAAACTCAAGACTCATTAGAAAACTCTATGTTCCAAAAATAATGATTGTCTGATGAAAAACAACGAGATATTCATTTTATTTCCGTTATTTCTATACAGATTTTTCGATCTATGACAGCTATATGATATAGTACTCAGATTCTTGCGAAATTTTTTTCTCGATTTAAAAGTATTTAAAAAACTTGATGTTCCAAAAATCATGCTCATGGGATTTAAAACAACGACATTCTAATTTTTTTTCCATTATTTATATATATTTTTTTTATCTATGGCAACTATATGATAGATAGAGTTATCCGATTTTGATAAAATATAATTTGAAATTCAATAGCAGTTTGAAATCTGGAAGAAATCAAGTCGATCTGATCAAAAACAGCTGCCTGAGAATTTTTTAATTCATTCTCTCGTATGGGAGCTATCCGATATAGTCGGCCGATCCGGCCCGTTCCGACTTATATACTGCGTGTAATAACTACACACCTTTTGCGAAAGTTTCAGCAAGATATCTTTAAAACTGAGAGACTAGTTTACATAGACACCGACAAACGGACAGACGGACAAACGTACAGACGGACAGACGTACAGACGTACAGACGGACAGACGTACAGACGGACAGACGTGCAGACGTATTTGGATTCTGATCGTGATGCTGATCTCAAATATATATATACTTTATGGGGTCTAAGGTGTCTCCTTCACTGTGTTGCAAACTTCTGACTGAAATTATAATACCCTTTGCTCTGCAAGGGTATAATCTATATATTGTATATAAAAATGGAGACAAACAAGAAAGGAAGCTAGCTTCGATAAGCCGAAGCTTATATACCCTTGCAGTCATCAAATATGTCGAACAAAATGCATGAAGGCTAAACAACATCGAAGCTATAACGATTTTTCTATTCATTTTCCATATTTCCGACTATAGATCATATGGGAGCTATATGATATAGTTGTCCGATTTTGATAAAATTTAATTCGTAATTTAAGAGTCGTAAGAAAACTCTTATTTTCAAAAATCATACTTGTCTGATGAAAAACTACGATGTTAAAATTTTACTTCCGTTATTTCTATATAGATTTTTCGATCTTTTCTATGGCAGCTATAAGATATAGTTGTCCGATTTTTATGAAACTTTTTTCTCAATATAAGAGTTGTTAAAAAACTTGATATTCAAAAAATCATGCTCTTGGGATAAAAAACAACGATGTTATCAATTTATTTCCATTAATTCTATATATATTTTTTAATAGAGTTATCCGATTTTGATCAAATTTAATCCGAAATTCAATAGTAGTTAGAAAACGCCATCTGGAAGAATTCAAGTCGATCTGATCAAATACAACGGCCTGAGAATTTTTTATTTCATTCTCTCGTATGGGAGCTATCCGATAAAGTCGGCCGATCCGGCTCGTTCAGACTTATATACTGCGTGCAATAACTACACACCTTTTGCGAAAGTTTCAGCAAGATATCTTTAAAACTGAGAGACTAGTTTGAAGAGAAACAGACAGACGGACAGACGGACAGATGTACAGACGTATTCTGATTCTACTTGTGATGCTGATCAAGAATATATATACTTTATGGGGTCTGAGGTCTCTCCTTCACTGCGTTGCAAACTTCTGACTGAAATTATAATACCCTTTGCTCTGCAAGGGTATAAAAATGTGCGGATCTGGCTCAAATTTTTTTCCAGTTATTTGTACCTGCCAGAAGAAGGTTATAGCATAAGAAAATTTTTGGAAAACCTTCTGGAAAAGTCGCTAGCGGCTCAACAGATGTACACAATGTTGTACGTAAAAATTTAAAACACCCTACAAAGATCATAGCTGCGTTGATATTGTGTATCGATGAAGTCGGTAAAAAAATATTTAAACAAAAAAATCGAGTGAGCTTAAAGTGATCTATTACACTGTGCGACAAAAAAATGTTTAAGTTGATTTTTTCTTATTTTTCACTTCTAATAATCAAAATAAGAATATAAGTTTGTGGATTTGTTAATATCAATAGCCAATCAGCTTTTACGCACACTTAAATGTCCCAAAAACGCGCGTTTTTGCATTTTTCACAGCCTTATAATTGGGAAAATATTTTTTCACCGTTATAAGCGTTCATGCAAGTTCAATATCTATTAATTAAAATGTATTAGGCAAATATACCGTTAGGCTTTTATCACAATGCTTTAAAATTTTGTTCTCCCAGCTCTATACTCTGGGCGACTACGTATGGAACTTATTACGCGAGGATACCTCTGAAAAAACCAAAAAAAAATAACGAAAAAAATTCACTTTAAAAAAAATAATAGTTTATTGGAAGTAAAAAATAATATTTTGTGTTAATTATTTTCATAATTTGGTCGGTTGTGGGCACCCCTACGTATATTTTCACAAAATGAAGATTGACTTTTGTTGGTAATGTCATTCGCAAGCAATTACCCTATGTATTTTTTATGCCAAATATCAAAGTAAACGAACGCGTTTGCTTTTTGAAATGAACTAATTTGTTTTTTTTTTGTGATTGAAAAAGGTGGTGAAACTTTATGCAAAGATTTTCAATAGTGTATCAATTAAAGTGAATCGACTAAAAAGGTAAGTGTAATGCATTTTTATTTAGTCAAAGCATTATACTAAATGGAACAATATCGATTTGAATCAAAAAATTTATGCAAACACATTTTTTAATTACTTCTTAAAATGTCTGCGAAAGTTGGTTGTGGGCACCAAAATTGGGTGGGTTGTGGGCACCCGTTTTTTTTTGTCAAATTTTTTTATTACCTACAATTTCTTGTAAAATTGTTTTCAAAATTTGTTTGGAACCCGCAGCCAACTCCATTAATTGTGACATCTGCGATCGAGCTTTTCATCCGAAATGTGTGGACATGCGGGGCAGTCATTATACATGTCAAAATTGTGTTTCCGACGATGAATAACGCCTATGTAGTCTTTGAAATAAATAAATTGTCATTTTGTTGATATTGGTTGCGGTTTTTTTTTTCATACTATTCCATTTGCAGCATTTTTTCCCAGGGTGCCCACAAAGGGGATTTTAATATACCTGGAACTACTTGGTCCTCGGATGATAATTCCAATGCTTTACACCCCATAGGCCAAAATGAATTCATTGACGGTCTACTTGACATACCTCTGTGTCAGGTAAACCATGTTCGAAATTCTTTAGATCGCTTACTTGATTTGTGCCTCGTCTCAAATCCTGAAAGTGTTGTTCTTTCTAGAGCAACTCCACTTACGCTGCCTGAAGATCCATATCACCCTGCTTTCGAGGTGACTATCGACACTGGTATAACAGTTAAAAATAATGCTATAAAGCCAGCCAAGCGAATTCATTGTTTTCGCAAGGCAAACTTTCTGAGACTTAATCATCTTATATCTGGCAATGACTGGTCCGATCTCTATTCCTGCAATAATATGGAAGACGCCATTACAATTTTTTATTCGGCAATCAAACTGTTTTTTAACTCATGTGTTCCGCTATATAACCCGTCAACATCCCATAAACCACCTTGGTTTAGCAAAGAGTTGACACACCTTAGGAATTTAAAGTCCAGACTTTATAAAAAATATAAAATTTCAGGTTGTCAGTCTGTTTTTGGAAAATACATAAGAGCTCGGTCAAACTTTACCGTGCTTAACGCTCAGTGTTACAAGAATTATTTAGTCCGTTGCAGGTCCCAGTTTTTACGGGATCCCAAACAGTTGTATAATTTTGTCAACACTAAGCGCAGATCATGTTCCTTTCCGCCTTCGCTCTCGTTTGAAAGTAGGACGGCTAACACTGATCAGGCAATAGCTGATCTGTTTGCCCAATTCTTTCAAACAACTTACTCCACAGTGTCTCATTCAAGTGAGCAGTATTTATACTCAATACCTAAGTCGAACCTTATATTTCGTCCCACCTTAAACGAAAGCTCCCTACTTTCGGATCTTCAACGTGTTACACCAGTTTACTCCCCAGGTCCTGACGGGATTCCTGGGTGTGTTCTTAAACACTGTGCAAATGCATTGTGTAAACCCCTTCTCAAGCTGTTTACCCTATCCCTACAAACTTGTCAGTTTCCCCTTGTTTGGAAAGAGTCATTTGTTATTCCCCTTCATAAAAAGGGAAGCAAGTCGGATGCTTGCAATTATAGAGGTATTTCTAAATTGTCAGCAATTCCAAAGCTTTTCGAACGTGCAGTAACCCCCCACTTAAAGCACCTTTGTAGATCAATCATATCTCCATGCCAACACGGATTTATGAAACGCAGGTCTACCACAACAAATCTTTTAGAGCTCACATCCTTCGTGATAGATGGCATTAAAAATAATTTCCAAACTGATGTCATTTACACAGACTTCAGTAAAGCATTTGACTCTGTAAATCACTTCCTAATGATTCGCAAACTTATATATTATATTATATTATTAGGGGGGGGAAGGTTACCTCGACCCAACTGAATCTATTGTACCCCCTATCTGAGCTTAGAGCTCACCCATCAACCCGGCTCCTTCGATAAGGTTAAGGAGCTTTATCGGGTCGATGCTTCCAGAGGTCCCAAGTGTAAGGAACCTGGACCCGAGGGTTCTGCTCCTCAGGCTACTTAGTGCTGGGCAATCTGATATTATGTGTATTGAGGTTTCATCCTCGTTATCACAGAATCTGCATGTTTTCCTGTTTGTAATCCCTATATTAAATAGGTGTCTCCTTAGTTTACAGTGTCCGGTTAGTAAGCCGGTAACTATCCTAAGTGATCTCTTCCCTAGTAGTATAAGTTTCT